GGACACAAAAAATATTTTATGTATTGAAATAAAAAAAATTCCAATATGTGGATTCTACACTGCAAGATGACAACAAGTTGGGACACAAGTATCATTTTTTTGGGAAGTTATTTTTTGAAGGGGAATAGATCCAAGATTTCTAAATGTACATTAAAGGATCATATCATCAATGCTACTATTCATTGGAAGTTTTTTTGTTTTTTCTATATAAGACTTTAATGTTAAAATTATATTTATATATATATATGAAGGATTTATTGTTCATTATTTAATAGTATGAACATCAGGAGGATATGATGTTATTCATATTATTTTTCATACCTTGCCAAAAAAATCTATTATAAATCAAGTGAAGTTAATATTTCTTTTTTAATCATTTTAAAGATATATATATGATATCATATCCAATCATTATCTATATACATATTCATGTACTATCTTTTCTTAAAACTTGACGTGTTCCATATCCATGACATGTCTATGTTCCTTTGTTTGTATTTGTGCAGCATGTCTCTAAAGGTATTATAAGGAAGTGATTTATCTGAAAAAAAGATAAAAGTAGTACCAATTGAAGATAAAAGTAAAAAAAAAAGAAGTCAGCTAGTTTGGCCATGTATAGTGTAGGCATGCGATAAAACTATTGAGGCAAGTGGATAGAATTAATATAGAAGGATAAACAAAGGAAACAAAAGCAAATCAAAGATACCATAACAAAAACCTAAAAAAAAAACATGAAAAAAAAAAAATGTAGTTTCACACTTCACGCAGCACTCAATAAAAATAATAAAAATAACATTTTATAAAACCATTAGAATAAACACATTTGATGTAAGAAAAGCATGAAAAATGCTAAGACTGACGATAACAATAAGAGAAAATTGAAAAGATTAATAAAAGTAATAAAACAAGCAAACCTCACATCTGAACAAAGAGAGAATCCATCCAAAATGGGTTTCAAGCCTACTCCTGATGAAAGATCAAATCCAAGCATAGATGAAAGAATCTTCATCATGCAAATTACTAACATCAAACTAACAAATTGCAAATATATTATTAATAAATTCCTAAAAACCTTAATGATAATGACTACAATAATCCATACAAAATAGCAAAAAATTAATAGAAAATAACATTACAATCCAAGAAAAAGAGAAAAAAAATAGAATTTATGTCCGCATTAACTCCCCTACTTTAAAGCATTATACTCTGACGAGTAAAAGTGAAAATATGCATGTAGGTTTTCTAGGACTATGATATAGGGGCGGTTTGGTATGCGGATTTAGAACGGATTTGGGCAAAATCCAGCCAAATGGCCTAAAATGCAAATCCAAATCTCACGGCAAATGAAAGCCGAGGTTGACGGAAAAAGACCACTTTTTGCGGTAAATCCCGGATTTCGCAAATCCACCGATTTGGCAGATTTAACTTCTTATTCGCGCGAGAGGAGGAAGTCCGAACATTTCCAGCTGTTTTTCTTTTAACTGCCTTAAATCCTGACTTGCATAGCCAAACAGTCACACATAATTTAACTAGATTTATCATGAATGTTACCAAACAATTTTCAGGATTTAACCCCCCCAGGATGTCGCAAATCCGGATTTGAAGGATTTATGAAATCCTACTTAAATGAAATCCTAGATTCTACCAAACAACCCCATAAAGTTTTAATTTGAATATGGCTAATTATATGGGGTCAGATTGGTTTTATGGATTCAAAAGAGTGGAGTCAGATGAGGAAGAAGAAAATCTTATGGCTGAAATCAATGGTCATTGGCGACAAATTACTGTTCATAATGAACAGTAACCCCACGAATAATGGAATTGTGGAATCTGAAATGACTTGGCTTCTCATGGTAAAACAAAATTCTTCGGGTAGATGGAAAAAGGAAAATAAGAGAACTAATTGAGGAATAAGAAATCAAATGATGATGAAAGGAAGCAACACCCTAAAGGTGTAGCAATCTTGCATATTAAATGAACCAAAAACTTTGACTTAATACCAATTTGACAAAACACGAGCAAGAAAAAGTTAGGAAAGATAACAAAGAAGAAGAAAAAGTTGAAAAGATTCATCAAAAGATACAAGAAGTCTCAAGGCCAAACAAAGCGTGAACCTTCCTTGAACGGGTTTCAGATCTCACAGTGGATCAAAAATCAATTACCAAAATAGATGGGGAAGAAGAAGAGTTTTTACATCCTAAGTAGCGTTTTATTTATGCCATAAGTTTTCTTACATGACTCAAAATTCTCGTAAAATGCACCCCTTCTAATATGTACAGAAAATTAACAGTAAAAAATACACCAATTAAGGATTAGATAAAATTAATGCCAGAGGTTTAAGAAGGAAAAGAAATAGACCGAAGTTGGCATAAATAGAAGTTGTTCGCACCCTTTTTTTCTTATTTATGTCCTGCACATGCATATTGCAAGGTAATTCATTTCCTCCTATATTGACCCTTTTCAAACAGCCTCTTTTCAAGATGTATTGCATCGCCTCCATTCGAAACTTCTTCCAACTCCCTCTCCCAATCCATGAGAGAAAAGAAGAGGAAGTCGAAGAGGATGAACATGGGGATACAAATTGAAAAAGAGCGAGAGGAAGATAAGAGGAGATGAATGAAAGAGTGCTTATGCGCCCAGAACAAAAATAAATTTGATCTCTAGTTATATATGGAGGGCTTTCATGAATCGTTTTCATGGACACTTTTCTTCTGGACCTCTTTTCTTGACTTATCCCATGAAGATTACTCCATGAGAATCCTTCAGCTAAGGCATATCCTAGAATGGACTGACTAGTGTTGTTTAGAACAATTTGCAAATAATATGTTTCACACCTCAAGCAATAATTAAGAGGAATGAATCAAAAAAGAGGATTCATAAAGCAAACCCTAAAGGCTATTAAATTGCTAGACATCAATCATATTTATTTCTAATAAAATTAAATTAAATTTCAACTCAACTCCATTTTTCCAAGGAGAAAGCATTGTAAAGATTTAATCTTTCAACAAAGAATGAATAAAGACAATAAAACAAAATTATATCCAAGTCCTATCTATATTTTTGTGAGTTGAAGTACATGATGCCAACAAAGTTCTAGGTTTTCTCCTGTGAATCATGACAACAGTAGAAAAGCAAGCTGCATGGTTACCAAAGAGAGTGGTTGCTATTGAGTCGCTAACGTCTATTATTACACATTAATGTTGCTGAGAATTTATTTGTCAAATTTAATGCATGGTCGCCAAAAATTAAATTAATCTTTTCATATTACTCATCACTTAAATCACCTTTTGCTTATGAGCAGAAATATATTTGTCTTGATTCTGCCCATGAGTTCTTGTATTACACTAGCAACATCAGAATACAAAGGCATCCTACCTAAATTTTGGAAACAAAACACTAACAACAATATTAGCCACAAACCAAAAGAAATCCTTATCCTGCAATACAATAATTGCCCTCGCTCAACCCCCAGCCATGTGCACCCATACACACATAGCATAAGAATACAGGGATATCCTGCCAACTATCAAGTTGCAATTATTGGAAACAAAAGCAAGAACTATTAGCCTCCAACCAAAAGAAATGTTCATCTTACAATGCAATAATTGACCTAGCTCAACAACAACAACCAGCACCACCACCACTGACTCTCAACTCAACCCAATCCACACACATAAGCATAACGTCATATGCCTGCATGCACACGGAGTCGCGGAAAACATTTGAAGAAAAGGCATGCGCATGGACTTATTTACAAGTGGTCAAGCCAATCCTATAATGATCACATTTCAAACTCTCCATCACTTTTGTATGCTGAGCATTTTAAAATGGATTGTACGCACAGCATTAAAATCGTTTTTGAATGGTTAACCCACACATGTAATTACCCTATTTTAAACTCTACATAACTCATGTTTTCATATCTGACTAGCCTCGTATGAACATAAAATGCTACATAAAAGATTAAAATGCAGCATGATCAACTTAAACCCTCAAGTTTAATCACCTCTTTTTTCTTGGTGTGTAAGCTTATGGATAATAAATTCCATTGCTTAACACATTAGATCCTATGATTATTCTCTTAAAGAACTCATATGGAGAGATATTCAGCTAATTAATACCCCACTTCCTTGCTATTGTAATTCCAAGGAAATTTACTGGCACAAATTTTAACATAAATGCCTAATGCAGTGGAGACGAGACATACTGGCATAGATGTTTGATGAGGACATCGGAGATCAACGGCTACGATTTTTTAGTTATTTATTTATATGTTTTTGTACTAGTTTATTTTATATTGTTGTTTTTCCCTTTATACCCTTATGGGTGGTCATGTAGTGTTGTAGCCATACGTTTCACATCAATGTTTAAGAGGAGTTCAAAGGATAGTAGCGTGTGAGTGAAGGGATTACTAGAGATGACTCCTGACAAGTTGTTCATTAATACGGCTTGATGGAAAGGAAAAAAGGTGCCAACAAATTCGGCAGTTAGCAATTCATTAATCCTCACCTCCTACTGCTCAAATACAGCAATGGTTATCAAAATAATTATTCGAGCCACTAAAGGCCGGAAGAGTAGCGTTTCAAAAATTCTAGTATCACCAACATATTTCGAATGTTTGTTCAAATTTGATGAACGAACAACTGGCAAAAAAAAAAAACAGTGAAACTGGAAGGTTGGAAAGAAAGTAAGAAACATACTAACGTTTGATCAAACACTAAACAGTAACTGCAGGGATATAGAAATTACTCAAGCTTGGAGTTTTCCACAACAACAAAAATTTAAGCAAGCTTCAAAGTTTGCAGAAAAAGAAACGAAGCCAACAATATCACAGTATGCATTCAAAAAGAAGCCTACCTCTGAAGGAATTAATGCTATCAAAGATAGGCAGGGAAATAAAACTAAACTGGAAATATACAAGCTAAATAGAAATCAACACATTATACAGAATGAAGCTACAATCAAAAGCAACAAAAAAAAAAAAAAAAAAAAAAAAAAAAAAAAAAAAACAAGACCTAGGAATCCTCAATAGGGAGGAAGAAGAGCCACTCACCAGGAACAACTTTTGGAGGCTCGTCCTTGCCAGTGGCAGAATACATGTACCTCTGCCCCTTGTACCACACAAAATTGGGAGGTTTCGGCGCATAGTGCTCTCCCTCGGGAAGACTTATGTAGAAACCAATTACATCTCCCTCAGAATAGCCTTGTTTGCCATACTCCTCCCTCAACGCCTTGTGAACCTTACAACCATCAATATCCCTATACCCATAGCTATTGCCGTCATACCCGACAGGTGCCTGAAGATCCCCGTTCTCCGCCGTCCACCCAAGCCTCGTGTGCCCGGACTCGCCGAGCCTAATAACCCTGATCTCAAAGTACCAAGCGCCATCAACAATCCCACGCGTCGCGCGAACCATCCTATATCCCTTAGTGCTCATGGCGGAGAGGCGATCTTCGCTTAGCTCGACCTTCTCCGCCTTGTAAACACGGGAGAGGCAGATTGTGGCGTTCGGAGAGTCGTCAGATTTGTCGGGAAAGCGAGCAATGGGGGTGATGAGAACAGTATCTTCTGGTGCTTGAGGGGTCGAATTCAGCTTGCCCTTTTTCTTACCTTTGCGAGAAGTAGATTTAGACCATACGTTGTTGCTCTTCTTCTTCTGTTTCTTGGCGGCGGCGGAAGAAGCTGGAAGGGGAGGGGGGAGGCATTGGGCGTCATCTGCGAAGGAGGAAAGGGGCTTTTGTTTCTTAGGGGCCGAGGGTTCCTCGCCGGAGGAGGAGGAGGTGTACACCGGAGGATCTCCGGCGGCAGGAGAATCAGATTGATGATCTTGATCTGTTTCCTTTGGTTCAAGCGGTGAGGTAGGGCGAAGCGTAGATGCCGATAGCAGCGGAGGCGGAGGAGGGAAAAAAGAAGGGGAATGGGGCTTTGCGGCGGCAGCGGCAGTCATGGCGGGTGGAGGAGGAGAGGGGAGGCGGTCGAGTGCATCGGACCATTGATCGTCAGCGTCGCCGTTGCAAGAGGATTGAGGGTTGTCCATGATTTGCCCGATAGCTTCTACAGAGTGGAGGGAAGGAATATAATAAGGCTTTTCGGAGTGAGACCGCGTAACCAAACATTAAATCCCCCCTAAATTAAGGGAGATTGTGTTATTCTATTTACATATCTAACCATTAAAATGTTAATATTATATATATTATTTATAATTCACTTTCAAATAAAATATAAATAAAATAAATAAGAGACAGAAATAAAATATGAGTGTCATATTTGATATTAAAATAACATAAAGTGTTACGTATATAATACTCAAGTTTTAGGTATTAGATATATAAATAAGATGGTATAAAGTGGTATGTATATAAATCTTTCAATTTTAAAGTAAAGTGGTATTTTGACATTTTTTAAAAATGAGCTTATTTTAAATTTAAATTCGTTTACCTAATCATTTCTATCTTTCTGCTTTCCACCATGAAACCGGATTTTACTTCTCCAATTTCTATAAATTTCTTAATTTTTTTTTAAAGCAAGTTACTTTTATTATATATCAAAGATTATATAATTTTTTGTCTTATATTTATTTTAACTGAATGTAAAAACTGATTATGTTTTAAAAATTAAAATAAAATTACTTTTACTTTTTCTCATCTTTTTATTTACACTATTTTGTTTATTTTTATTTTATAACTTATTAGTATATTTTTTAAAAATAAATTTAAAATTTTATTATATATTTAAGACAATATAATAATCATAAAAAAGAAATTAATTTAAATAAAAAAATTATTTTATTTTTATTGATTATAATATTTATAGCTTAACTAAATGTTGCCAACAAGACAAACTGTAAAATATAAAAATCATACATAATAGTTTTAATTTTTATTAAAATTATTGTTTGATTAAATTTATTTTATATTATATTAAAATATATTTA